CGTTCCTGGCCTACATTGCCGCTCATTATATGATCGAAAGTAAACGCACCACGGGCACGGACGGAGCGACAGGAAACAATGGGTCACGCCGCGGGACGCAGTCACGGAGACCCCGCCGTTTTCATCAGGTGTACGCCTCGTCGTCCGTTCTCTTTGTCGACGAGACTCATTTTCGATTTCCAGCGAATCTTTCTTTCTTTCTTTCTTTCTTTCTTTCTTTCTTTCTTTCTTTCTTTCTTTCTTTAGGGGGGGAGGAGGGAGAGAGATGGGCGACGATCTCTATTTATTTCTTTTTTCTGGAAGGAAAAGAAAGGAAGGAAGGTGATGATTTTTCGCGGCGGATTATCAAACGGTTTCGAAAAAGTTTCTTCGCGAGTACTTTTCTTTCTTTTTTCCTTTTCTTTCTGTTTTCTTTTTTTTTTTTTTTTTTTTTTTAATAAGAAGACAAGTGTAAATGGTTCGTGGAAAGTGTGCCCGTTACAGACATTTAAGGCTTTGCATTACCCGAGGAAGCGTTTCTTTGTGTACTTTCAGAGCGAAGTAATGCACAGCAGATGGCCGTGCCCAACGCAAAGAGCTTGGATCTTATTTCGTGAGATCCTAAGAATTGCATTCGAATGGCATCAAGTGGCAAACATAATTTAAAACTTCGTTTTAATCCCTCCTTTCCCACCTTGCCCCTTCCCCCTCCTTGTCGCTTATCTCGAGCCACGGATTCCAGAAATCCCGATTGAATATATATATATATATATATATATATATATATATATATATATATATATATATATATATATATATATATATATATATATATATATATATATATATATATATATATATATATATATATATATATATATATATATATATATATATATATATATATATATATATTGCGAAAATCGTGATGATTCTCGATCATCGAAGCAAAGCCAAGTTTGATTGCCAACCAACCGATCGATTATCAGAAACATAAGCGAGCATAACAATTCTTCCGAGAGTAGCTAGAATTACGAAAGAAACGAAATTAGAAATTAAACGTTACGTCAAGTATTCGTGTTTTAAAAAAGAAAAAGAGGAAAAAAAAAATTACTCACGAAAGTGAGTCGTAGAATTTACAATACTTATAGCACAAAAACATTTCGAAATTTTGAAATTTATTGAAATTCTTCCTACCAAAAAAAAAAAAAAAAAGATAAAAAA